TTTATTAAGAAAATGAGAAAAATTCAGGTAGCTTTCCCACCCCTAATATTCAGTTGAAAAGAGAAGATTCACCTTTGTTTCTGATATCATTATTTAGTGTTGCTTAGATCACCTTAACATAAGGATTATTTGTGATAATGTGATTTATTTCATATACTATCTGCAAAGTAGTGTTTCCTACCCATTTTTTTGGGTCATGACACAAAAAGAAATGTTTGTAATGAGACTGGAAGAAGGTGGATGAATCAGCTGGCTCAGAACTGAGACCAGTCTCCCATGTTTCACTGTTCACAGTACACTGAGTACCATGCGGTTAGGGGTTAGGTAGTGAATCCATGCAGGTAGATTCCAATTTAGTGCCTCCACTCACCCATGCCCCAAACACACACCCTTTCCTACTTTCTTCCTTCTTATTATTCTCCTCCTACTTTATCACTGTAACCTGTTCCTTCTTAGCTGTTATAGTTTGGATCTGGAATATCCTTCAAAGGCTCCTGTTTTAAAGGCTTGGTCACCAGCCCGTGGCATGGCTGGGAGGTAGTGGAACCTTGATGAGGTGGAGTGTAGTGGAAGGTCATTGGGCTGTGCCTTCAAAGGGGATATGGGGACCCCACCCCTTTCCCTGTCTTTTTGTTTTCTGGTTGCTATAAGTTGATCAGCCCCCCTGCCATGATGTTCTGAGTCACCACAGGCTCACAGAGCTAAGTGGCTGTGGACTGAAACCTCTGAAACCCTGATCCAAAATGAATCTGTCTTCCTTGTATATCTCAGAATATTGTGTCACAGTAACGGAAAGCTGACTAACACAATAGCCAGTACATTTTTTTCTGAGTTGTTTGACTAAACAATTTTTTTTCAATGTTTTTTCTCTTTGTTGATTTTCATATGTCTCTTTCATGTGACAGATTGTTGTTAAAAAGAGTGACTGTCTTGGATGACAGTTTATATTTTTAATAGAAAATCACCATCAGTTAATTGTGTCAGTTTTCATGTGGCTCCTCCTGTGAGTGTCCTGCTCAAGATAATCCTCACACTCCAGAGCCAGTGCTTAGGAATCTAACCCATTAAAAAGTGCTGAAGTCACATTGTATCATTTTTCCTTTCTCTGCTGACTTTGACAATGTTGAGAAATACATCAGTCTCAATTCTGCTGCTTTAGCCAGTCCTAGTCCTAGCTTCTAGTGTTTAGAGTCTAGAGTTTTATTCTTAGGGCAAAAGCAAATTGCTTCTTGCTCAGTAGCAGGAACAGTTAGGAAATTTCCAATTATTCTGGTTGTTGTAAATGAGATTTTAACTTATTACCTTGAACTTTGTCTTAAGAACCATTTCTCCTCTTGAATTTTGAGTTTGGTATCCTTTAATTTTGGAAATTAGTTTTAAAAACTTAATATTATATTTGAAATTGCATTTTACAGTTCTGTTTTAAGCTATTATTTCTGCTCTGGTACCTGCTCATCTAGTTCCAGATTTACTTTGCTCTTTCAGGGACTCTTTTAAATTTGTTCTTATATAATAATACCATTTATCAATTTTCAATGTACTAATATATTTATTATTTTTAAAGTAACTTTTACTCTTATGTCATTCACATGTCATATAAGGAATAGATATAGGTATTTAGTTTGCAGACTCAATAAATTCTTTCTCTACTTGAAATATTTATAGTTTACCTTCTAAAATAAATACATTTTTATTATGAAAAAAATCAGCATAGATCTTACGTGTACTATACTATTAATATTTTATATACATGTATATAATAAAGTTACTTATACCCCACAGGCTAGAAATAACTAGATATTTTGGGTATATATATGGCTAGTCTATTCTTATTTATTCAAGATTATGTCTTGAATTTGTACCACATATTTCTGTATACACTTATTTTATTAAAGCAGAAACCTATTAAATTGACAATATTTTAACTTGACCTTTTTTGAGTTGTAAACTTGCTCTTAGATGGTAAATATTCTCTGATGGAATTTTTACTAGTAACATCTTTTATCACATAGAATATTTTTATCTGTTCTCTTATTGCTTAGATTGCTTCCAATTTTCTGCATTATAAACAGTGCTTCTGTGAACATTCATGGAGACAAATATTTTTATACATCCATAATTATGTCCCCAGGGTAAATAAAATTACTCTTCTTAACCTTATATTGCAGAGGTCTTGCACAAAATCTTAGATACTGCCACATTGAATGACTTACCTCTTTTTGCTTTAAGGAATATTAAATCAATTTCCTAGTTATTTTATCAATTCACAAAATCATTAAGCTAGTTTTATATAACTGTCCACCGTTATGATTTGGATGTGTGAGAATATATGCAGAAGAGAGAGAGAATGAGAATTCTTAAAACATTTTAAACTGTTAAAGCACTAAAGGCTGATTTTCATTTCTTTTAAAACAACACTTGTATTGGGGAAAATCTGGGAATTGCAGGTGCTTTGGTGCCTTAATTCTGCAACAATCACAAAACAGAAATAAAATAATGCAAAACAACAACTAATGACTTTCCTTCTTAGATGAAGCAAGGAGACAGATATATCAAACAATTGTCTTTTATGATGCTTTGCTTTTCTTGATAACTTACCTGTAGAGAACTGGCGTGTTTTATTCATTTAGATACAATAAGTTAGACTTTTGTCTAGCTCTGTCTGACTTTATTGACTTTGACTCTTCTTCCTTTATATTGCCAATGCTCTTTAGTCAAGGACCACCAGGAACATACTTGAACTCGAACTGTTTGGAGTTTTGTTTGTTGCAACGAAGAAAAGACACTCTGTGGGGAACCACAGGATGTCTCAGTGAAAGAGTATTACAAAAGATTATAGGATTTAGGCTGGTGTTATGTGATTTGAGGGAGGTTGTCAAGAAAAGAAGGCACGGAAGATAGAAGGAGACCCTCATTGTTATACAAAATTACATATATGATGGTGTGAGGGGGAAGGAAAAAAAGAGAGAGAGAAATGTGTCACAGTAGATTGGGAAGAGAGAGGTGATGGAAGGGGAGGGAGGGGGTGATAGGAAGGGCAGCAGAATACAACATACACTAGTATTGCTGTATGTATAAATGTGGCTGTATAACCAATGTGATCCTGCAATCTGTACACATGGAAAAATAAGAATTCATACCCCATTTGAATCAAATGTATGATATGTCAAGATCATTGTATTGTCTTGAGCAACCAATTAAAAAAAAAAAAAAAACTTGTCCCAAAACTCAGAAATGGACAGATTTGTGTACCTTTGAGAAAAGCCACTGGCTTTGGACAGCTCAAAATTCAGCCTGCCCCAGCAGGCTTCCTGACATTTGTGCTCTTTTGTTATTAGCCCTCAGGTAATTTGGAGGTGAAACTTTGCTATTCCTACTACTGGCCACACTCCTGCCTCTGGTTATTTTCTTCTAAGAAGTGTTTTCCCTCGGCCTGAGACACTCTTGATGATATCCTGTCATTTCACAGACTTCCTTCTCAAAAATGGGTGTGGACTCCATCTTTTGGGACCTTTGAAGTTTAACCACAAATTTTCATACTTTTTTTAAAAATTAGCTGACTGTATAAGCATCATTTGTCAACTCTAATACAGCTCCTTTTTTGTACCCTTTCTGAAACAGCACACCCATTAGTTACCTTGCAAACTAATAAACATTGAATTGGGCTTGAGCGCAAGTCAAAAAAAAAAGAAAAAAGAAAAGAGGGCTTCACTATAGTTTTCTTGCTCTCAAGAAGTGGGGTAATTTTATGATTTGATATAATAATGACTCTATTTACAAGGAGGGTCAACTGTTCCAGTTTTCTTGGACAGAGAGGATTCCTGGGACATGGTATTTTTATCACCTATACCAGAAAAATCCCAGGCAAACTGGGCAGAGAGGCTCACCCTATCTAGAAAGCAGCAGAAATGAAAAGAAGCTAAAGTTCCATTGGTAAAGATGCAGCAGCCAGATGTCTGTCTGGCCTTTGTGTGATCTGGGTAATCCTGTTTTTGCAGAGTGATCTTGACTCTCTATCCATCACATGTCTTTGTCAGGTACTGAGAAGATATTGATGTTCGATAGGAACTCACCAGGGCCTACCTGTGAGTTCAAAGTGGGCTTGTGGAAAACCAAAGCATTCTTATGCCTCAGGCCAGTTTTATGGGTCAGAAACTGATCCCTGCTTTTCATTTTACAGTTTTCTTGTTTGGGAATTTGAGGGATAATTTTGGATGGGCCTAAGAGTTTACACATGTTGTTGCAATGAAGAGAGTTGCATTTTGAGTGTCTTGATTTTAGACAAGTTAGTTCTATGCCCCAAAGAAAAATTTTAAACAAATTTTTAAAATTTGTCTCATTACTTGCTACATATTTTTTCAACAGAGAACAATGTTTTAATGATTGACACTAAAAGTAAAATTATTAAATGTTAAAACAATAACTACTCTACCCTTTTTTGAGAACTAAATTCACTTTTAGTGTATTCAGTATCCTTGGAAATATACATTAAAAAAAACAATTTTTGTATATAGAACACTTATTTTCATAGAACAGATTAACATTTTGATGAACACTAGTATTTCAATATTAAACTAATATTTTATTGAAGTATAGTTTTGCTTATTAAATTAGAAATATAATTAAAGTTTAATAATTGTTCTGATTTAAATTTTTTAATTTAAAATGATTTTTATCACAATCATGAAAAAAGAAATTATCTAATGCTTTTTGGATTTATTGCTTTACTATTAAGAAAAAATATAAATAGTTATTGAAGTCTTTTTAAAACACAACTAGTAGATGAGCATATTATTATATAGTAGATCTACTCTGGTCATAAATGTTGCAATATTAGTTAAATTGAGAACATTATTTAATTATTGATATATGCTTAATTATTTCAACTGTCTTAAACTCAGTTCTGCTTTCCCATGTATGCATGAAATTTAATGGTCGGCAATTAGTCTTTATAATAATGGATGAAATAATATAATCTAATTTTGCAAAAATTTCTTTAGATTCTGAAGACTACCTTGAGGTCAACGTTCCAGCGGACATAGGAGTCATGCATTCTGGGGAAATAAGTCAGAGAAAGGATGAAGAAGATTCATCAGAAACTTCAAGAAGCACCATACCACTGGCAGTAGTGCTCCCTGCTGAAATTCCTTGTGAGGTCAGTAAGTGTGTCTTATTTAAGTGGCCTACTGTTTTAATAAATACCACATTTCTCTAGACTGTAAGCTATAACATTTTAGTCTACCTTGCTCATGACTGTGTCCCCAGAACCTTGAACAATATCTTGGAATTACAAGGCATTTGACATACATTTATTGACTAGTTGGACATTGGAAAATATATGAAAGCTGAATTTTTTCCATTGTTACTTGATATTTTACAAAAAGATAGATACATAACTTTACATGAACATACACAAACACATATCAAGCTGCTTAAAAGAAAACTGGATTTTCTTTTCCCAAAGGGAAACATACTCTTCATACCCTTGAACCCAATTTTAAAATACTTATCTTTAGAAACATAAATTTTCCATCATAAAGGTGTAGGAAAGGCCAGCATCATTAAGTAGAAATGCCGAAAGAGCTAAGTTCTGGTCCTCCAGGGAATGACTAAGGTTGGGGAAGGATTTCTGGAAAGATCCCTATATGAAAATATATTCCTGACATTTCTTTCTCCTAAATCTTCCTTGGAATGAACCAAGAAAATAAACGACTTGTAAAGCTGGAACTGAATCTCTGCTGTGTAATCTGCTGACAAAACGAAAAATGCTGGACCTCAGAGTTTACAGTGTCTCTGAGAGGAAAGAGCCAGAGACCCTGGGGGAGGCTTACAGGAGCCACAGGAAAGAGTCCTTCTGACTGAAGCTGGTGGATGCTCAGGACCTGAGGGCAGTGGCTTGCTAATGGCTTTGAGTGGGTTCCTGATCCTGCAGTGAGGGAAGCTAAGCATCCTGTGGAGTTGGTTGAAGCTCAATTCCCTCAATTCCACCCACCATGCAGGCCTGAGAAGAAGAATTACTGTTTTAAGGTAGTTTGCTATAAGTTCTAGAGGAACAGAAATTGATTTGACATTATTTTAGAGACCCCAGGAATTTCAACTATACATGTTTAAGGGAACTGACACAGATAATCAGGCAAAGAGAAATTACACCACATTTAAAATGACTCAGGAACTTAAGGAAGGGAGATGAGGCAAAATAATCTAAACTAGCTCCCATTGAGTTGGAAATAATGGAAGAAGCAGAAAAGAACTATAATAAAAGAGAAATGTGAACTACTCTCAAGTAGATGAAATCAAAGCAAAAAAAAAAAAACAACAACTCTGAGACTAAAAATAACTCACCAGGAGTTAGGCAGTAAGTCTAAATCGCTGCTTTTAAAAATATCTGCAAAAGTAAAATCTGAGCACTATAAAATCCTCCTATTACTAAAGTCACAAAGAAAGTGAAGTCCAAAAATCAAGCCTCACAGTCCTCAGGCAGAGGTGTCTAATGCAGAAAGCTGGTGAGGACAGGGGTTGTTCAACAGCAGAGTCATGGGCCCTTCTTTAATTGGCATTCTTTAAGACCCTCTGAAGTTAAATGCAATATCAAATGTCTCTTTGTTACTCCACTTTTTAAAAAATCCTAAATCTGAAATGTCATGCAAGGTCATTTTAACATGAGCCCATCCCCTAAAATTTCAAAACAATTTATTTCTTTTTTTTTTTTTTTACCAAAAACAGTTATCCCAGGCAAAATCTTGTATGCAACAAGGACATATATCTTGATAAAATCTGAATCCATTTGACTGTTGCCAAGCCCAGCAGAAAAGACCATTTGCACCCAACTGAGTAAAATCAGGTTTGGGGTTTGCTGGGATAATGCTCTGTCTATGCCAATTGTCTGAAAGCTCAACCCTTGAACTTCAAATCATTTCTAAGAAGTCTTCCAATTAGTCGATGAATAAAGACCACTTCTCTTCACCAAGGAAGCAATACTTGAGGTTTCATTGCCATCCCAATCTCCAAAAAATTAAAATACTGCTCCTGCCTGTCACCAAGTTTTATGTGAGATGTGCCTCATGCACACCCAGGTTCTTCAAAACCTATTTATTTCCCTTTGTAGTTGTGTTTCCAGCATGCTGACTTGAACATGAATCCTCCCCAGGGGCCTAATCTTCACATTGAGTTGGAAGGGAGTTTAATTTCCTCCCACTGCTGTTTCTGGCTGTGGAATTGCACTATGGATTTGCCTCCTGGAGAAGTTCTGCTCCCTGTCCCCTCATGTTCTGGAGACCAGCTTTGGTGGATTGTTAACTGAAGTACTGGATGATACTGCTGCTGTAGCCCTGGGTACCCTTTTACTTTCCCCAATGCTCTTCCTTTCCACAGAGTTTAAAATTTTTCCTAGCCTTTGAAAAATCTTTCAAAACAGCAGAAAAACAATTTTTTTTCAGTCTCCTCAATGTTTTTTCCACACACTAGTGAAGATATGCCCCTAGTATTCTATTTATGTATGTTATTCTTGGCCTCTTTGAGAACTCCCTAAGTTTAAATTTTAGATTTAGGTTTAAATCTTTTTAACCCGGCCTCTTTTTAAACTTTATCTAGAATTGTCACACTTTGTTCTATTTTACTATTTTTTAAAAATGTTTTCTTTGTTTATTAGCCTGAATATTTGTTTTTCTAGCATATTTCTCTTGACTTTTGTCTTGTAGGGTAACAGATCGTGAGTGATATAAAACTAATGAGTTCTAGGTCTGCCAAATACATCCACTGTTAAAACAGTTCTCATGCAATTCTTGCAATTCTATCTCCTTGATCAAAAAGCCACCTGGGAAGCCTTCTCCATTTGGAACAACATTTAAGTCACAACTGGACCTCATATTTGGTAGCTCCTCTTATTTATGCTGTTATTCCAAAGTCAGGATTCCATAATTATTTCAGGAAAATTCCCTCAGAGTAGCCATTCTCAACTGGAGGGTAATTTTGCCCTCCTTATACCCAAGGGACATGTGGCAAATCTGTAGGCTTTTTTTTTCTTTTTTTTTTTAAATTTATTTCTTACATGCATGACAATAGTGGAGTGCATTACATTAATAATTATCCATTCACATCACAATTTTTTTGTAACTCTGCATATAGAGTATGTTCACACCAAATTATGCCATTATATATGAGCTCTCTTATTTTTTTTGCATACAATTCTTAATACACCTTTATACCACCATTTATCATATCTCTGTTTGTATATAAGGTATGTTGACACCAAATTCACATCTTCATACATGTATTTTGTATAATGATGACTGTCTCCTTCCATCATCCTAGCTATTCCCGTTCTCTCTCTCTTTCCCTCCCACCCCTATTCCCTATCTAGAGGTAATTTTCCACCCATGCTCCCCTTCTTTACCCCACTTTGAGTTGTTAAGGTCGAGCGAGCTTCGGAGGAAGAGACCACCAAGAGACTGTCTCATGCAACAGCAGAGGGTTTATTGGGGGTCCAGCATGCTGGGGCTCAGAGCTCACTTGAGAGGAGCAAAGAGCCCTGAGAACAGCTTAAGCAGAGCTTATATACATTCTTTAGGGGAGGGCAGGGACTTCACATACATCATAGCATCCCTTAGCAAATCATCACACGCTGCGGGAAAATCAAATAACAACTCTAAACCATGATTAGCACATTTACTGGCGGGAACAAGTTGGGTAAGGGGGATTGGTCAGTACAAGAAAAGGGTATACATTTGAACTGATTGGTTTAAGTCCTGAGGGGTGTACGTGCTGAGCTGCATGGTTTCTGGGAGGGGTTGTTTTTACAGAGCAACCAGATGGTCAGGAGAGATTTCTCAACATACATTTCCAGGAGTTGTTTTGACATCTACATAAATTTCAGATTTCAGGAAAACAGGTTTCAGGAAAACAGAACTTAGACTCAACTAAGAAAACAAAACTTAACTTTTACATTCTTAACCTTTCAGAGTCATCCCCCTTATATCAGAGAAAACAGCCGGCATTTGTTTTTTGGGGACTGGCTAACTTCTCTTAGCTTTTTTGTTGTCACAAGTTGGGGAATTGCTACTGGCTTCTAATGGGCACAACTAGAATGCTATAAAACATTCTACAATGCACAGAACAGTCTGATGACAATGGGTTTTCTGGTCTAAAAATGTCCATCTGATACTGCTCAACTAAAGTTAAATCCTGTCTTGAGTATAGGAAATGTATCCACCTTCTTGTCATAAGTGAATCACCCTCAAACTTTCCCACCATGGCATCAAGAGTTCAGTGCTCCTGTCAGAGACTTCTCAGGAATCAGTCCAGATGTCCTATAGTCACTTGTTTGCACTGCCTGGTCTTTAAAGAGATCCCAGTCACTTCTTTTTATAGTTTTACCCAGGGCTGTAAGGGGGATTCGCTGTTGGGCACCCCTCTCAGAAGTACTGCCATTTGCTCCCTGAAGCTTCACTTCTCTTATCATTTCGGTGAACTCCCATCACAGACTTGGTAATGACCCTTATATCTTTTCTGAAATGGCACCATCCTAATGAGAGACAAGGGTGAGCTTATCTTTTTATCTTGTTTGATCTGTAAGTAGCGCTTTAATAGGTCATTTTCCCTTCCTTTTAGAAGAAACTGCCCATTGCAATCTTGGCTTTTCTGCCCCCAAATCTTTTACTTCCTTTAGTAGAATCCACTGATGCTCCTTTAATATCTTATTCTCCCACTTCGGCTATCCTGATGATAAAACTGAAACATTTTTAAAACCAATTCAGTCACTCATTGATGTCTTGAACAAATTGAGTTCTTAAAGTCATAGCACAATCACAGAAAGCCCTTTAAGTGGCTTTCTTAACATTTTATCTATACTAATTTCATTAAATTGTTTTTCTGTCTGCATCCTAGAACATGGTATTTTCCCTAATGAAGGCCTTCATTTAGAGGACCTGTTCACTGACACATCTCTGTGGCTGAAACCATAATGAGTTTCTAAACCCACAGGGAAGATCACAGACTGCATAATTAACACCTGTTGAAATGTCAGAAGACCCTGTGAAAGAATGAGACTCTCAAGGACCTTAAGAGTATCAGAGATCTCCTTCCAGTTCACTCATTGGCCTCAAATTCAATTTAAAATAATATACAGAAGCTATCAGCATCACCCACTTAATTCTGACAGCAAATCACAAAACCATTTGTGGTAACCAACCCTAACTTAAATCCTGATCCTTTGATTTAATTTAAAAGAACTGTAAAGGCAAAACAAACTGATCATGTACGTTAATGCCTAAAATGTCTCTTTTGTAACATGCTGCCTTTGGGAGGGTAATATTTACAGAAGTCAAGGACTTCTCTTTCTTTTAATCAAATGGCTCTTAAACTACTGAAAGGCTTTTAGAGAATACAAGGGGAGGGTTTTGTTTGTTTTGTTTTTTGTACAGAACCCGGAGGGCACTTAATCACTGAGCCACATCTCCAGCCTTTTTTATTTTTTATTTAGAGACAGAGTCTCAGTGAGTTGCTTAGGGCCTTGCTAAATTGCTGAGGCTGTCTTTGAACTTGCAATCCTCCTGCCTCAGCCTCTGGAGCCGTTTGTGTTACAGGCGTGCACCACTTTGCCCAGCTACAAGGGGAAGTTTTTAAAAATAATAATGCCCATTTCCTACTTCCAGGGATTGATCTAGATATAAATATTCAGTTACATCCTGTGCACTGAGAGTTTTAAAATGTTTTCCAAGTGATTCTGAAGGTGAGCATTAGCAGTCAAATTTGAAACCATTGCCATAATCAATTTCTACTCTGCTGTCACAGACAAGATCCATCCCAGCTGCAGAAGCCTATACAGCTCTAGCTTAAGATATCCCATTGCACTTATCTTGGAGTAACATTCAAGGTTTGTGACCCATGCAGCCAAACTTCACCCATTCTCTCTGAATCTCAGACCCAAATAAGACACATGCAGAGGTATAAGAAAGAACAATAGCAAAACAGCAACTTCATAACTGATAAAATTAACTTAAAGGTCATATGAAAGTCCTAATACTTTCTCCATTGAGTTCAATGTATCCATGTAATCAAGGTCAAGCCCTCCAGAAGGATTAGATATAGCTGAGTACTAGGGTGGTAAGGAACAGTTTTAAAATGTCATGTTTTTACAGATTTATTCCATCTCAAAGAAATATATACAGAATATCTCTAATCTGCTTAAGTCTTACAAGATTATACAATGGTATGCGAAAATAAAAACACCCTCAGAACATTTATAATCTAGCTGGGAAGCCATGACACAGATATGAAGAACAAAGACTGGAGATTAGGATTTAGCAATGGCCAGATGCAGGGCATGAACATGAAATGCTCTAATATCCTTTCACCTCTTTTGTTGTTGTTGTTGTTGTTTTTGGTAATGGGGATTGAACCCAGGGATCCTTAGCACTGAGATACATTCCCAGTCCTCTTTAATTTTTATTTTGAGACTGGTCTCACTGAATTACTCAGGCTAAACTTGAACTTGCAATCCTCCTGCCTCAGCCTCGAGAGTGTCTGGGATTACAGGCATTTGTCATTGTGCCTTGAATGCTTTAAAATTCTTTGTGGGCTGAAATCACAGGGAGAATTTCATAGACCTGGTAAAACCTGAGTTGGACCTTGAAAAGGAACCTACAGACAGGGTAGTAGAGGGAGAAAAGGAACTAAATAACACAAACAGGATGAGCTACCTAATTTGTAGAGCAAAATGAAAATGCAAGATCTTTGTTCAAGTTATTGAATATTTTAGAAGAGTGACAACAGAACATTAAGCCAAGGGCAGGGCCTTCTAAGTGTGGGGCCCTGTGATTGTATAGGTCATAAGCCCATGAAGCCAGCCCTGGGTACAAATGAAGATGTAAATCCCTCATTTGGAGAGGTCAGTATGCTTGTCTTTTGTTTAGAATTTTGCTCTGGAAATTGTCAAAGGCGGAGCCCTGCCCTCTATTAAGGAGGGAATCTGTTGCATAAGAAGTAGCCTGTGTGGATACTCAGGAATGAGAATGAGTTGGTTGGGTGAATAAAACATTTGGCGGGTACACCTGGACTTACCAGCTTTGAAAAGAGCAAAGTTAAAACAAGGAGCGACTTAAGCACAGAAAACAGCTCTGAAGAGCTGTGAAGCTGAATTCTTGAGAAAACAGACCTACCAAATAGGGAGTAATTATGTGACTAAAGATTCAAGGTGAAGTGACAAGAAAAACAAAAGGAACTAAGGGCTTATCTAGAAGGGAGTCCCTGAGGGAAGGAGGTTGCAGATGTGAGGAATGAAGGCTAACATTCCCAACCTGCCCTGATGCAAGTGGGCAAGAGCAACAGGTGGAATCATGGAATGGTGCTCCTTCCTCTGAGATGGACCCTTTTCTCCATGTGCAGTATAGTTGATGAGGGGAAATTTAGTTTGAAATATCCTACAGACAAACATTGGGAGTAGACTTTGGTAAAAAATGTCTGAAGTGTATTTGTGTGTCAGCTGAAATTATTTGTATCATCAACATACTATTTGTAGAAACTATTACTATTAAGATGTAAGTTTCACTGATGTGTGATTAATACTTAGGGAGAAACATTTAAATAAGAGAATTTTGAAATCAAGGACTTTTTGATAAACATGATTTACAAGAGTACATAAATGAGGTTTCTGTTTTATTTAGTGTAAGGCTGAAATTTAGTATGACTTGGAAGAAAGTCTTTGAAAGGTATTATCTGAGATATTTCATTATTATGAAAGGAATATTTTATTTTTTCAAAAGGTTAGCATAGTGTGAAGAAAAGTGTGGATCTAGAAGTGAGATAGTACAGATTAATCTTCAGAATGCAACTATACATATTTGTTGCTCTCTTCCTGAAAGAAAAAAGTAACTATTTTGGTTGTGTGTGTGTGTGTGTGTGTGTGTGTAGTTTCAGTTATGATTAAAAGAGATTTAAAACAGACATTTGATACATTTTTATTCTTTCCTTTTTGTCAGTATTAAATTCAGTATTTCTCATTGTTAGTAATTTTCTGGATATTTTTGTCCAAAAATAAATCTTTCAATAACACTTTAACTTCATATACATAAATGTACTTTTTCCAACTTAATTAAATCTCAAAATTTGTGGATTTATAACCTTTGGTAAACTCAGAAATTTTCACAGATCTTCATATAAATAAATAATAATCAGAGAATGCTTACTATATAAAAAAATTACTAGACATTAAAAATTTTCATTACATGTAAATGATAAGAGGTCTTAAGGTTAAACTTAACACTTTCTCATTTACAGATAAAGAAACCAAGTTCTAGAAAGTTGAAGGGATTAGGTTAAAAGTTGAATGATAGTCCCATGCTGGTCTGTGAAAAGATGCTTTTACTCAAGGATAGTATGCCATAGTAGGAAGAGGTGAGAGGAAAAATGAGTATTGGATAGATATCAAACTGATAAACTTAAAGGGTAGTGAACATCACATTTACATATTTCATGTCTGAATATGACTGGGAATACAAATAGGATTGAAGACTTGCTCAATGATAGGGTATAACCTTTATCACTGATAAATGTAATGGATTCTTTGTTAAGGTAAACTGAACTGTGTTATATTTTTACTTTATAGAATCCTGGGGATATATTCATTCTTTTGAGAGATGAAGTAATTGCTGAAACTGTGGAAGTTGAATTTACATCAAACAATATGCACATTAGAGCACAGCCGGCCCTTTGGAATAAGAAAGTCTGGTATATGAAAGCTTTAGGTAAGAATTTTTATGCTTTAAGAAATATAAAACATCACTTTGAGTTCCTTTCATTAAATTTATGATAAATGGTTTTGCTTCCCTACAGAAACTAATATTTTTCTGCAGGTGTTTCCTGTGTTTAGTTTCACATACCCAAGGTTGTTATTATTAATCTGGATTTGCAAAAGTAAGAATGTGTAAATTATGAGAAATGTGATTGTGTACCATGTAGTAAAATGACAGCCAGTAACAGAGAGCACTTTAATGTACATCAGCTAATAAATTTAGAACAAAAATTATTTATTTTATTGTAACACTCAGATTAGCAGATATTTGGGTTTATTAAAATAAATATTCTGTTTTCTTTTCCTTTTTGCATACCCCCTATCACTGCAAGTCTCTGAATATATTTTTGGTTTTCTGGAAAGCATAATTCTTTTTCAGTATATTCTAATCATGATTTCTACATATAATCTGTCCATCATTTCTTTATTTCATTTATGAAGCTAAAAATCATTTGATTACCCAGCTTTGCATACAGCATGATTAATTGTATTAGATATAAAATTCCAGACAGAATAACCATACTTGCCACAACAATTGTAACTAAAATAAAATATATAATATATAATTTTGTATGTTTTGTTATGTTAAGACTACTTGTTTTTATTTTACTATATCCTTTCATAATCAAAGAATAAAATTACTTCACAAAATATTTTGCAATGAAAATATGCTTCACCTTATGAATTTGGAATTGTGATAGAAATATTTAAAGTCAAAATGTATGTCAAACATATCTTGAGCTCCTCTTTTTTCCCCTTCTAGAATGTCACTTTTATACGGAACATTTATAGAGCATTTACAGACCTTTATGTGTTTTAGGCAAAAATGTGTCCCCTCTGTGGATTTCCTTGTACAACTTGGGTTGGAGTTGGATTATTAGAAGGAAGGACTTTATACTAGGACTTCATAAACATTTTAGACACTGCTTCTTTTCATGGACAAATATACTTACAAGTGTGATTAGAAAGAACCCTTTTTTCTTTCTTTCTTGTCACAATGCCCCTACTTCTTTAAGTCTCATTCTTTTTTAGGGGATGGGGACTGGCAATTGAACCCAGGGGTGCGTAACCACTGAGCCACATTCCTAGCCCTTTAACTTTTTTTTTTTTGAGACAGATTCTCACTAAGTTGCTTAGATCCTCATTAAATTGCTAAGGCTCATCTTGAACTTGTGATCCTCCTGTCTCTGCCTCTCAAGACACAGGCATGTTCCACTGTGCTTCGCCTTATATCATATTCTTAACTGATTTATGAATAGTAATTTTTAACTAATTACTTTTAGAGTTTAAATTAAATTTAGTTAGAATAAGTTATTTCAGGAAAAAAGTCAATATTGTAAATTAAGAAGTACTTAAATATTTCCCAAGTAAGAGATCAAGATGTCAAATAAAATTATTCACATGACTTAAGTTTTTTGCACAGTGTACCTATTGGCTAAGAGTAGTGTAAAGAGTAAAATGTGCCAAAGTTCCTGAAATCATGAAATTACCAGATGGAACCATAAGGGAAATACTTCAAGATATCGGGATATGTAAAGATTATTTGGATAAGATCCCAAAACACAGGCAACAAAAGCAAAACTAGAAAAATGGGATTTTATTAACCCAGGAAGCTTCTTCACAGCAAATAGAGTAAAGAAACAACCTAAAGAATGGGAGAAAGTATTTCTAAGCTATATATCTGAGAAGGGAATAAGATCTAGAATATATAAGGAACTCAAACAACAACAAAAGTAATCCTATTAAAAACTGAAGAAATGGAGCTAGGGATTTGGCTCAGTGGTAGAGTGCTATGCCTAGCATGCATGAAGCCCTGGGTTCAATCCCCAGACCCCCCCCCCCACATCAATATATATATATATATATATATATATATATATATATATGTATGAATATGAATGAAGCAGGGGCAGGGGAAGGAGATGATATGAGTTTGCAATTTTTAAAAGATGTTACCAATAAGTATATGAAAAGTTTTCAACATTACATCATCAGGGAAATGCAAATCAAACTATGACCTATCATCTCACCCTAGTTAGAATGTCTATTATCAAAAAGACAAAAGATAACCAACCAACGCTGGCAAGGATATGGAGAAATGGGAATTCATTACTATTCATGGGAATGAAACTTTGTACAACAATTATGCAAAACAAAATAATGGTTCTTCAAGAAACTGAAGGTAGAATACTACATGATCTAGCAATTCCACTACTGTGTATATTTCCAAAGGAAGTGAAATCATTATGTCAAAGAGATACCTACACTAACATGGCTCCTACAGCACTGTTCACAATAGTCAGGATATGGAATCAACTTGGGTATGCATGCGCACATTTGTATGTGTGTGTATGCAATGAAATATTGTTTATTCATTAAAAAATTGAAACACTGTCCTTTTAACAAGAATGGACCTGGAGAACGTTATGATAAGTGAAATAAGCAAGTGAAAATGACAAATACCACATGTTATAGCTCATTTGTAAAAACTAAAAAAAGTTGAGCACATAGCAATATAGAGTAGAATAGAGGTCAATAGAGGATAGGAAGTGTGGGGAGGAGGTGGGATGGAGAAAGGGTAGATAATGGATACCAAAATGCACTTAAGTGAGGAAAAGTAGTTTTGATGTACTTTAGTAAAACAGAGCAGCTCAAGTCCACACAATTAATTATATATTTCAAAATAACTAGAGAAGGGTTTCTCATAGAAATTATAATGTATTTCTCATAGAAAAGATAATTACTCTTATTTGATCATTACACATTGAATACATCTATTGAATTATAATGCCATGCTCTATAAGTAAGTGAAAATATTATATCTATTTAACATAAAAAGAGAAGATAAAAAGATGCCAAAGTTCAAATTGCTTATTAGAAAAGTAGGAAACTAACTTTCCTTCTCTCTAAAGATATATACGATCATAATATTGTCTACATTGTAAAATAACAAATATGTCATCAATCAATAAATAAACCACTATTTACTATCCTAATTAAATTTCTACAAGTTGTTCTTTCTACTGGTATATAGAAATTAATGAGAGATTTTCTTTCAAAGTGCTTGTTGCTATGCCACAATATACAAAATGTTCATATGAATCTATGTGGAACTATAGACAGAAAATGTCTCAGCAGAAGAGGTCAGAATCTTACTTTCTCTGGTTTTGAAATATTTTGAACCCTAGTAAGAACTTCATTTTATACCATGAGCCAGTCATACATAGGTAACTGTTCAAAACCAAAGTTTTAAAAGCAATATCATACTAATGGTTTCAGCCTCATCAAGCAGAGAGCTTAGACAATGTCACTCCCATTTCATAAGATAAAGCTGAGCAAACTAAAATTGGAGTACCCTTGAACCCATATGAGAAATAAGTCACATAGGGGTAGAAAATTGTTATATCTCTGCTTATCCATCAAAGGGGCCATAGTTGACATGTCCAAAACAAAGACAGACTGACATGTGAATAGCATAGCAAATTCATTTAGTAAAAGTTTTATATGATGCTGGAAGCCTCAGAAAGAAGACCCAAAGGGCTGGGATTGTGGCTCAGCGGTAGAGTGCTCACCTGGCAGGGGCGGGACCCGGGTTTGAACCTCAGCACCACATAAAAATAAAGGCATTGTGTTGTGTCCATCAACACCTAAAATAAATAAATAAATAAAAATTTAAAAAAAGACCCAAAGACCCAGAGAAAACTATTTTTATGTTTAGTTTCAATAAGGAACGGACAGTGTATAGAATTGTAAAAGGACCAAAGATATCTAATGATAACCAACTGAGAAAGGCCACCCAGCCAAGCCTGAGGGTCCAGATTCTCCTTGGCCTCTCTGTGTAGCATTTCTTCTTCCAGGTGTGGGCTAAGAACCTCTGCAATGAGGGCCTCCAAGGGAGAAGCAAGAGTGTGACCTTTTGAAGTATTAAGGCTTGCTTTTGAAAGGAGACATTCTAGTTGTTGGAACTACCTTGGAAAAGCAAATTCTGTTTTGTGACTCTCTTCAAGTAAGAAAAAGGGGTGGGAGGTGGTAGGATTGTCAGATAGTCCTTAGTTCTGAGGCCCTTCAAGTCTCCTCCAGTTCAAAGTACTCAGCACACTAAGGCATCATAATCTGGGGTGCTGTGTTTTTGACCCAAAGAGATTTTTAACCAAAATCTCTAAGAGTGGTATCAAGAGAGTGACCTTTGAGATCTGTTTACCTGGAGTATAATTCACTGAACCCATAAATTGGTAGAGCATTAATTTTAATGACTTACTTAAAAATAAATATGCATAGGGGTAGAAAGGTGTTATATCTCTGAACTAAAAATAGTAACAATGTATTATGTGATTACAGCATATGGATGAGTGAACTGATCAACAGCAATATTATAAGGAATGGGAGGAAAGAATTGGGAATATTCTTTTACAAGATAACTGCACCATCTATAAAGTGTCATTGTATTATTTGAGGGTGGAACTAAGTTTGTTAGATATGTATTCAAAACTCTAGGACAATCATTAAAAAATTTAAAGATATAACTAAAACTTAAAATGGGATTTCTAAAATTCTCAATTAAAACTGAAAGAACAGAAAAAGTTGAAGTTTGGAGGAGGAAAGTAGAAAAAATTCAGTGAATAAGATTGTTACAAATACACTGAGTAGTAACCCAACTATGACTAAAGCCTGGTGTTCACTACTGAAGTATGAATACTCAAAGTATACCAATTAAAAGACAGATTGCCAGAGTGAATAAAAAAGCAAGACTCATCTATATGTTTACATAAGAAAACTCACTTTCAATATAAGACACAGTTAAATAAACAATAAAGGGATGGAAAAAGATATACCATATTAACACAAATCAACAAATGCTGGACTACTGTGTTGATTATAGACAAAGAAACTTTCAAATAAGGATAATTATCATGAATAAAGAGGGCCATTATGTTACAATATAGGTACAATCTCCAAGAAGATAGAACAATCCCAAATATATATGCACTTAACAACAGAGGATCAGGGCTAGGGTTGTGACTCAGAGGCAGAGTACTCTCCTAGCATGCATAAGCCACTGGGTTTGATCCTTAGCACCACAAAAAATAAAATAAAGGTAATTGTGTCCACTTCCAACTAAAAACTAAATATTAAAAAAGAACATAAAACATATAAAGCAAAAGAAAATTGAACTGGAAGGAGATAAAAAAAAGGTATGCTATTCTAGGTGAAGATTTGGACACCTTTTTTTTCAGTAATTGATAGAGGACATAATATCAGTAAGTATATAGTTGAGCTGAACTGTATTATTAATCAACTTGATTTAATTGACATTCATACAATACTACATCCAACAGTAATAGGATGTTCATTCTTCTGAAATTCACAAGAGGCATTCACCAAGATAAATCTCATGCTGGTCTTTATAAAAATCACTTTGATCAATGTAAACAAATAGAAACCACAAATTTCCCTCAATGGAAATGAAATAAAAATCAATAACAGGATAATTTAAAACTTTCCTAAATATTCAAAGGTTTAAAAACAAGTTTTAAAAAGCAAGATAAAAAATGATTTCAAATACATGAAAATATAACTTACCCAAGTTTGTGAGATGCATAGAAAAGATGACAGGACAATTTCTCATAGATATCTATAATAGAAAAGAAGAAGATCACTAAAAGATCTGAGATCAATAAAAGATGCCTATACCTTAAGAAAACAGAGGAAATTAGCAATTTAGGAATAAAGCAAGCAGAAGGAAATAAATTATAAAAATTAAAGCAAAAAATAATAAAAGAGGAATATAAGAGGTAAAATCAACAAACTTCAAAGAGAGTTCTTTTAAAGATCAATAAAATTGATCAAATTCTAGCCTGGCTAACCAAGAAAGAAAGAGAGAAGACAACAATTTCCTACATCTGAAATACAATATCAGGCGTCATTACCACTAATCCTTGAGCATTTCAGTGATAACAAGGGGTACTGTGAACACTGTAAGAGTAAGAATTTGATAACTTAGACCAATGGGCTAATTCCTTGGAAGACATAAGCTACCAAAACTCACTTAAGAAATGGATGTTCTGGATTGATCTGTATCTTAAATAAATCGAATATTAATTTTCTACCTTCCATAAAAGCTAATGCAGGGCCATTTTCATGTGGTAACAATGCAGAATAAAACAACTCTTATGTTCATGTACAATGATGCTGACTAGTCAGGAAATCTTAAAAGATACTTTTTTCTTTGCTGCCTCTGTACCTTTGACCCACTTCCACATTTTAACCTGTTTTTTTTTTTCATTTGAGAACGTATCCTCTAGTTTTGTTTTTTTTTTTATCACCTCCCCTTTCCATTCAGCTCCATAACTTGATAAAATTGAAATAACTTTATTTTTCAAGAAACATACCTTTCTGATGGTATCCGTAGGTTTATCTCTGACAAGGACTTTTGACTAAAGCAATTTGAAGTTACTATGGTTCTAGCTTATGTCTAAATGTATAAAAAACCTATGTGAAGCATTACAACTTTAAATATTAACTAATTGCTGTGCAGAAGGAAGAGGGTATTCCTTTGGTATTTGTAGCATAGCCAGGAAAAAAATAAAAAATAAAAAAACAGCACAGCAGGGGGACAACTAATTAAAGTTTGAAAGGAATGCATAATATATCTGAAAACATAGATTCCCTTTATTAATTAGGAAACTCCATTCTAGGTAATATGAATTATAAATTTTATTTCATTAAAAGAGCTTGAAAACACTGCAGGATATGCCAAACATACTTAGGGAAAAAGCAACATTGACAAACAGATTTCTATGATCAATTTGTGATTTGAACATTTTAAATTGAGATTAATTTTTAGGCAGGACCAAGGTTTTGAAACCATCTTTATTTAATCCTAAGAGTCAAACCAGATCTCGTGGAAATATTAGTTGAGTTCATCTACCATTGAAGGTTAGGACTAAAATTGGCTCTCAAAGTCAGATGGTTTCTCAGATAATGAAAATAACACCAGTAAAAGAGCTCTTACTGGGTTTGTGAAATAGATACTATTATGGAATAAGTAAAATATTTTTACTATTCAAAAATACCTTGGGATTGTATTTTCCCTAAATTGCATCAGTTTATGCTTAATGTGGAAGAAATGACCAGTTGAACCATGGAGAAAGAGAAAGTTATTGAAGTATTTTTTGTGACGTGATTTATCACTCAGATAGTAAAAATTAGAAGCAAATAGATTTGATTACCATCTTTAGTCTGGAAATAGAAAATTAATATCTTTAAAGAGACAATGACATTAAATGGCCTAGAGTTTGAGATTTGAAATTTAAATAGCATTCCTTTTTCATTGCTTCTCTGTATGTGTTTATATCTGATGGAGGGAAGGGGTTCCATGTTTTCCTTCCATTGTGGGTCTTTTTACCTTTTCACTGCTGGCTCTCACATGCTTGCTTTGTTTGATGATCTTGACCTCTATTTGTGTGCACTTCCAGAGTTAGATATTACTTGTTATCTCAGTCTAGATGGTAAACAGCAGGATTTACTTTTACTCTTTTCTATTTAAGTCTTTAAATTATTTGGTTTCTATTTCTTCTTCTTTCTTTCTTTTTTTATTTGATTTTAAGTCGACACATAACTATTTATTTATTTATTTATTTATTTATATGTGGTGCTGAGGATTAAACCCAATGCCTCACACATTCTAGGCAAGCACTCTACCACTGAGCTACAACTCCAGGCCCGGTTTTTTTTTTCCTTCATTTTTTGAAAAGCTATAAAATGTAGTCATAGTGAACCCATGTTAAAGTGAAATTATGCTCAAGCAGTTCAGGTACAGTTCATGAAAAAAACAAATTGATGTGTTCATAAAGAAACTGATGTAATGATACCATGATAAAGGGGGCCTCCCAACCAAATGATTTCATAAGTAGTTATTTTCTAATATATGGGTGGAAGCAGTAATTATGTTTGAATTTAGTAACTGCCACTCAACAGATATGAAAATATATGCAGCAAACATGATACTTTGGAGGGCATTTCTTTGAAATATTGCACTAACAAGAACATCATTAGATACCCTGGTAAAGTTGTAAGCTAAGTAGTGACTATATATCAAAAGCAAACCCATTCATTTTCATGTTGAACTCTAAAGAAATTAGAGAGTTTTAAGTGTTCTATAGCAAAGAACTACCACACTCAACCAGTGAGCCACATTCCCAGCCCTATTTTGTATTTTATTTAGAGACAGGGTCTCACTGAGTTGCTTAGCACCTTGCTTTTGCTGAGGCTGACTTTAAACTCACGATCCTCCTGCCTCAGCCTCCCGAGCCACTGGAATTACAGATAAGTGCCACCAGATCCAGCCAAACAGATCTTCTCACTAGGCATCTTTCATTCATTGCCTGTCATACTTTCAGTAGGATAAATCTACTAATCTTTTTCCCAGTACATGAAATCAATATCTTCTTCAAAACTATTTTCATGATTTACTACAAAAAAATAAAATTTTTGAAAAAGCATCTTCTGGAAGTCTATAGAAACTCATTTTATTGGCTCCAGGGATTCTGGACCCCTCTTTACCATCACCACCTTAGCACAGGCGATGTGTTTCCCAACTTTGAGTTTGGGTTCAGGTTTCTCTTATGTCCTCTGTTGGGTGAGTACTTCTTCAGGAAGACAGTGATTCTTCTTTTGTACTGCAAGTCAGTATCTTGTCAAGAATATGGAATGAGGACAGAACAGCTCCTTGACCTAGTTAAGCTTGAGAATGCTTTTGTTGCCTTTAAATTTCCCTGAACAAAATTATAAGAGCTCCATTAACTTTTTTTCATGAGATAAAGTAAAATTAATGCTTGAGCCTTAAGAAATTTTAAATATTCAAGTCTGTTCAAGGCTGTTGATTTTATAATTAATGACTTATCCCAAACCCACACGTTTTGAGTGACAATTTTCCAGGAGAATTTGAGAAATATCTCTGCAACAAAGTGAAAGCTTTTTAAGAACTGTCCTACAAATAAATTTAAAGAGCTAAATTTTGTTTACTTATGTTACAGTAAAACAGAAATATCTCTATTTTAATGATTATACATTGTTATTCTTTCATGGAGAGCCTCTGATTTTTGCATAACTTTAATTATGTTGGTATGATACCGCAGAATTCACAGGGAATTCTACCTTGAATAATTTGTTACTAAAAGCTTTGGATGAATGTATTGTGTATATACAGGGCATGCTTAAGTATCAGAGCATTAGGTCTTGCTTTCCCCAAGGTATTTCATTCTGATCAATTGAATACAAATTCTGTAATTTCAATCAATGCTGCTCTTTCCAAACACGATTTTGAGAAGCTTGCCTATAATTAATTAGAATTTTCTTCATAAGATTGGTAACAAACACCTAAACACCTAGCTTTTAATGAATGACTGCACTTTTATAAATTCTAAAAAATTATGTAATGATGATTATAGATCCCTACCCCAAAAAAATGAGTAAGTAGGAAGAAAGGATTTAATGTTTTGCTTTTATTATAACTTTAGCATGTTTTAATATGTTCTTTTACATTAAAAAACAATTAAATTCTATTTTATGATTTCTAAATACTAAGGATAAGAAAATTTAAGTGATAGACATTAGTAAAATTGTTAGTGAATTCTTAAAGCCTTACTTTATGTTCTTTAAAATATAGAATGCTATGAAATATGTATTATATATCCCAGCTCCTAAATCTTATTTGTGTTTTGATAAGATTTTCCTGCTGGTTCAGTCAACGTCAGTGTCTACTGTGATGGTATCATTAAGGCTACAGCAGAGATTAAATACTATGCACCAGCAAAGGCGATGGAAGACACCCACAGAGCAGCAGATCCAGGAGAGGGTTTGTACAAGGTAAGTGAGCCTTTCCATGAAGTTAATCATAAGCTAAGCTAATGCCGGATAAGAAGATTCCTGCTTTGGTACAAAATTTGAATGTTGATTAAATAAGAATTAATTGCTGATCAACACAAAGGGAAGATGTGAACCTCCAAGTATAGAGATTCAGGAAATTACTTTGCCTACAGTTCAAGTCATTCCAGATAATGGCAATGAGAGAGAGTTGATGTCCATTACCACATGGCTATTGTGATAGGTTCTGTTGCAGAGCAGATAAGAAAGAAAGGGGGATCAGAGAGAACTCTAAGGAAATGAATTTCATCTTTATTCAGATCTGGACAACACAGATAAATCAGATCATCTATCTGACGGAGGTGAAGGACTCAGACAAACCAAAATACCACCAGAAAAAGAGCATGTTGTGTTAACCTAGAAATTGTTTCCATATGGTCATTTCCAAGCTCAGTATATTTTTCCTAATTTCATTTACTACTGTATCTAAGAGTGAAAATTTTTGTTTTATGTGATTAGTGTTTATTAGGAATTCTAGAAAGTTTAAAATTTCCTAGGAGCGATGCAAAGAAGTATCTCCAAGCTCAGGTTTGTTTCTCTCATGTAACAAAGTATTATTCTCCAATGATAATTTCGTGAAGCATTCCTAATTTCCTTTAAGGGCCCCTGTTAGAGACTTTTTTTCTGCAAATGCCTGGCCCTCGTGGATGTTACAATGTAATAATCACATCTTGAGGAATCTGAAACCATTAGCTTAACTTCTGCATTTTATTTTTTGTTACTTGACCTACTTTTACAAGGAAGCTGGCTTAATGTAAAACTTTTATCCTTGGTGTGATTATTGCATCAGATTTTCAGAGTGAAAAAGTCATTTCTCTTTTCTAGCTAGTTGATAATTAGAATTTTAATTTTGCTTAATTGCCTTGCTGGAAGGGGAGGCATAAGGGAATCAAAGTGAAGAAACAGGCAATTGGGTTGAACAACGTGATGTTCCTGATCACAAATTTACCATAAAATACCCTATAAGATTTGTAACAAAGCTGTTCATGACAGTGAGGTTGACAGGTTGTCATGAAGTTTTGTATGTTTAAGCTAGTTTGGAATGGGAGGCTTTGTTATATATTTCCTGTGACACATTTTTTCCCTATTAGAGTTCTCCTTTATGAACAACATATTTTAGAACAATGGAAAATGTAAAAATGTCTTAGAAAAGGACAGGGAGAGAAATACCATTTGTCAAACTGGAGAGTCTTGAGGACATTTGACAAAATGTCTATATTGTAATTGCAAAGCAAGTACAAAAGTAATAGCTTGAAATACCGATTTTTTTAATTTTCTTGTGACAAATCTACCTTGTCTTCTACTTAAAAATTCTATTCATAACATAAAGATTAATAAAGGTAATATACTATGTTATCAGTATTCAGTCAGTGTGGAAGTAAAGTAATCCCAGAATACATCTTTTGTGTTGCTTTATTTGGAGGGGGCGCGGGGGGGGGGCAAGTTTTGTATGTAGTGAAAATTAAATGTAATTTATGACTCCTGAACAATTTTACAGAATGCAATAACATGCAAGTCATGATTTCTTCTACAGCTTGAAGCAAACATGAACTTTTTTTTTTTGCACATTTTACATTTTATAGATAACTAGAAAATTTCCTGTTTTATTTTTACCCTCACTGTCAGAAATGAGAGGTAGAAAAGATTATGGCTACATATTAGATTTTCTCCCCTCCAGCAAGCATGAGGGACATAGTTATATGTATTATATGCCACACATGAATATGACATATAATGTATATAACTGAACACAGGGCTGGAGGCTTTGCTGCTATCATCAGGGGGACCTTAAAGAGATGTCCTAGCCTTCATGTGTTTCTCCTTGTTGACTCTTGTTTTTTTCCTTTTATCATTTGGCTTTGCTCTCACGTAGATTATATTTAAAGAATGTGTAAGAAGCTGTGCTTTCCTTTTTTAGTACAGAACATTGCAGTAATTGTTTCTTTCCTGTGCTACCCTGTCATTAAGTTGGGAAAATTGGATATTTTGTATATGATCTACTGAGCATCTCCTTTCAAAATACAACATACATTATACTTTTATTTACTATAGTTATTGTATATTTGTAAGAACATATACTAGCAAATTTGAGATTTTTCAACATTTACCTATTTAGGTGAGATAGTATATTTTAAAAACTACCCTGAGTTTTCCAGTAAATTTTAATGGTGAATGTGATTTCAGTAATTTTCAAATTAGTAACAAGGGCTTTTTTGTAATCATTTGAAAAGCCATTGGGCCTATGATAACATTAATATTGTGTGAATTTGAGGAGAGAATTAATAATGATGAATCTGCGAAGTTTATTCTTTAGTATTTCTAGAGTTTAGAAGGAGAGACTTAACTATTATCATTTAAAAGCTATTGGACATATAGTAAAATGACCAGTCTGTGAATTGGACAAAAGCAATGATAATGAGAAATCTGTATTTATTTTATTTTTAATGATGTCCATCAGGTTTTAGAACATTTACCTAAGCCAGCTTAATTTTCTTACTGCTTCTTAAATCTTTTTTTTAATAATTACTAAATCCTATCACCAAGCCTATAAAGGTGACATTTCCAGATCATCACTTAACATAGAGAATGTAAGAGATACAAATGAAAAAAAATCTGAAATCCCAATTTGGGATGATAATTAGAATTAAAAGACTGGTGTTAGAAGTAACTAACACCAGTAACTAATAGGGACTCCTATTTAACTGAGATAATTAAAGCCTTTGAGATTTTCATCCTGTTTACAAAATTGTCTTGGGGCAACAATAAAGTTAACTTTATATAGGAACAACTAGATACAATATAAAAACAAAATTAGGTCAAAATGCTAAAAGAACACTGCAATTATTAATCAAAATATTAGGATCTCATTCATTCAAAGTTTTTAACAAATAACAAATAATTCTTTTTAGTTATATTTCTTTTGAGTCAAGCAAAACCATTGTGTGGTATCTGTTTGTCATAGTGCATGTTTTACTTTATACATATTTAAATACTATTTCCATCTTCATTTTTTAGTAAGTCATGTGTATTATTCAGTCTTTGATTTGCTGCCTGCAAGTACTTAATGCCCTGTGAACTCAAAGGGGGTTGGAACTTAGAGAACTCAACACAGTGAGAAATTTCCCAGTGTGTTTCTTTCTATTAACAGTTCCCTTAAAGATTATTTTTATGCCAGCACCATGCTGTTTGGGCTGCTGTAACTCTGTATCTATGTGTCCTTTTTTTCACTCTTCTTTGTGTTAATAACTCTCTTTTAGAGAATGCAGAAGTCATTTGAATTTCATATGTCCTCCATCTGTTTTATTGCTTGTTTCATATTTCTGATGAAAGACTTGAAATGAGTAGCATAAGAACAGTCAAAAGAAATGAAATTTGAAGATTTTTTTCTAGATTCATCTTTTCATATTTTTTCCCTTATTAGGATGGACTAATAAAAGACTTCAAATACTATCGAGACTTACATTTTACTAATAAAATTCGTAACATTTTGTGCTTTTGTGCTATCTGTCAAAACAGATAAGGATAGTTAATGATGCCTGATTAGGGTAGTTCAGTCTGAAGAATAATACCTTGGTTTCAAATAATTCAATCAAACAGGTGCATGCCACTTAGTACCTCAATTGTTTATTTACAAATAGCTGATATAGCAGCTCATATGAGGAGAAAATGAATATTTCTGAGTTCAGTTGCCTAGCCATAGAGTTGGGTTGTTGGTTCTTTATAGATTATTATCTTAGAATCTGTCTGCATGGTTATTGCCCCATGTTCTAGCTTATATTTTCAGCATATATTTTTGTTGAACCCCGACACAAAGAAAAGACCACCAACTCCAATTTTAAATCAAATTAAAGCAAGCTTGTATTTGTGTACACAAAGAGACTGATCAGCGGCTGTCTCCTCTAACGAGGGCTAGAGACCAGCCTCCAGCTCTCCAAAAATAAGGTTTTATAGCACAAAAAGTTGCAAAGAGGGGTATCTTGAGAACTTACAGCTAACAGAATTTTGACAAGTATAATACAAAGGCAGATCGTAGGTTAATGATCCACATGGCATGATATTTCAAGGTAGGGAGTAAATTCAGATCTCAACACCAGAATTTATGAGGCACCTCTGAGGTTTCAGTGAGGGTTGTTACCTGGTCAGGGAAAGCCAGGCATGGGTGAGTTCAGAGCACGGGCAGGAATTCCAAACAAGTTTAGAAATCACAGTAATTTACAGTAAAACAGAAATTAACTTTTTATGACTTTGTGACGAGATGGCTCCCAATCTTAAAATCAAATTAGGCTGGGTTCATCATTTTATTGATGACTTCTTAACGTACAGTCTCTGCTAACTAATTGGAAATAAATACTTCATTTTTATTAATCCCACACTCAGCATCAATGTATTTCTTTCCTTTTTGGAGTTCTTATTTAGTCATACATGACAACAGGGTTCATTTTGACATAATTATGAAAGCATGGGTGGATGCAGTGGTGCCTGTCTGTAATCTCAGTGGTGCGGGTGGCTGAGGAGGAAGATAATTTGTTCCTCTCCAGTCCCCAGTACTTGCCCTCTCCCTCCCCCTGTTCCCCTTTCCTCTGCTCTACTGCTCTTTTTGTTATTTACTTTCTGATTTTTTAATTAGTGTCTTGTGGATGTGCATGATGGTGAGAGTCCCTGTGGTATACTCACATAGGTACATAGGAAAATCAGGTCAGACTCATCCCATTGTCTTTCCCTATCCCATCTCTCCTCCCTTCCCTTCATTCCCCTTTGTCTACTCCACTGATCTTTTCTCTATTCTTTTTAAAAATATTCTCCACTTATTTTAGATTAGTTTCTGCATATCAGAGAAAACATTTGACCTTTGATGTTTGGGGGCTGGCTTATTTCACTTAGCATGATTGTCTCCAGTTCCAACTATTTACTGGCAAATGCCACAAAGTCATTCCTTTCTATGG